CAAAAAAAAAAAAACACGCAACCAGCGCACTTGCCTCAGCCCAACCCGCATGCGTGCGCACGTGTGTCACGGTGTGTGCATGTGCACTTCGCCCGGCACATAGCGCAGCGTGCACCGGTGCTGTGCGCCGCAAGTATGGTCTGTAGTTTTTCTGATATTAGACTTGTCCCCTTTCTTATATAGAAGCGTTAGGATACCCTGATTAACTCTCTCTCCCATATTTATAGTTTCTTATATTAGACTTATCCCCTTTCTTATATAGAAGCGTTAGAACACCCTGATTTACTATCTCTCTCATATCCCCTGTCATCTAGACGTTATGGTAGTAGTCCAAAAAATCTTGCGAAAGCGAGTCCCACATTGTCTCCCAAAATTCTTTAAGAAGACCATCTATTAGAGACGTTTTCTCCTCTTCCATGAGAATTAGGGTTTTTCAAATTTCCTCCTTTGAGAGTGACATCTCTAGTTCTTTTCTTTGAGCATCTGTGATTACCTTCTTCAAGGGCAGTAGGAATTCGTCAATTTCTATAGATCTTTGAGGTTTGAGGATTGAGGTATTTTGTGATGAAAGGAGGTCTTTATAAAAATCCCTAGCAAATTTTGTGTTGGCCGCTGTGGAGGTGGCCAGGGACTCATTCCTGTTGAAGGGGTCGACCAATGCTTCAATTGTGGTTCCGCCTATTCTAGCTCTAGCCATGGAAAAAAACCTCGCATCCATGACTCCCTCCATTAAGTGTTTTTTAAGTTTCCCTCTAATTCTCGCACCTTGCTATTTGTATTCCATATATTTGAAAAGTTGGTCATCTAACTTTTGAATTTCTTCTGCTAAGGAACCCATGTCACCTTAATTAGCCGAATTGGTTTTCTGTTCTTATAAATCTTGAACTTTTTTTTTATGCAGATCAAATTTCTGTTTAAGTTTGGCGAGGGATTTAGAATATTCATTGCATTTACGACATAGGAAGACTATATTGTTGTTGAACCAGTTAATGTCATCGTTGATGAGAGGTTTTTGATCTCTCCAAAAATATCATGCATCATTTAAATATTTGCGAAAACTAGGATTTGTGAGATGAGTAGTATGAAGTTTGTAGTAGCCCCTTCCTTGACCTGGCTTTTTGCGAAAAGCAAAAATTGTCCTAGACTTGTGAAGGGACGTCGTGGAAGGATGAAGGGAAATTGTAGTACACCTTGCAATTCTTCTGACACTAAGATGAGATTGATCCTAGATTTGGTAATTTTATTAAATTGATTTTTCTTGAAACATGAGAAGGTATTGGTCGTAGGGTTAAGTCTTCTGGAAAAGTCAAAGAGGTTGGAAGTGTGACATAAATTAGCTATTACTCGTTCATCTGATTCTATATAGGTCGGGCAGGGGGAGGGGATAGACCATCTGTCCAGATTTCGATCCGATGCAGCGTTAAAATCTTCAGCCATTATGATTGGGATTCCAACAGGGAGGCGTTGTAGGGTGGCTTCAAATAATACATCGCCCGCATCATTCGGGCCATATACATTGAGTATGCTTACCACCTGTGAGTCCAACATGACCAAGATATATATTCATCTTTTTTCTTGTTGGTCCACCTCCCAATTAAGCACCTCGATCTTGGATGACGGCGGTATCCAAACGGTTACTCTAGCGCTCCCTGGTTTGGGGGCATGCACTCTAAATGTTGTGTGAGACCATATTTCTTTGTGGTTTTGAGTGTGTAATGTCGTATTCATCAAGTGTGTTTCTTGGATGCAGATTACATTTGGTCATTCCTTAGTTCCCAAACCTCTTAGCATTTCTAATATAGCTTGCCTTTTATTTCTTTCTGCTGAGGCAAGACCATTCACGTTAAGAGTCCTTAGGTCCAAGTCTGCATTTCTCCTGAGAAGCTTCCAAATTTTGTCTTTATTGTATAGCGCATCTATCAAATTCACTTCATCTCTTTTGTCTTCCATTATAATTTTTTCAATAAATCATGTTGACCGCGTATTGGAGAGAAGACTGAATTATATATTCTTCCAAGTCGCTGTGTCCAGGATCCCTCCTTTTTTGAGGGATGTTTTTTTCAACAGTGAGAAGAAAGGGGACTACATCTACTTCTGTCCAAAATTGACTAGCCTT